ATTTTAAAGCAGTTTTATAATTTTTTTGGAGGAAAAGAGTCTTTTATTCTGTCCCTACATACAGATATCACGCAAAAACATCGTTAAATTGCATTCGATAGCGGTCAAAATGGATATTTTTGTTGAAATATGCTGCCTGAAACTTTTCGCAATTACAATACTTCCTTTTTATTTCGTACCAAGGAAGTAAAAAAAGGAAGCTACAAACTTCCTCTGATTTTTTTGGTGATTATATATATATATACACATATATATGTTATAACTGATTGATTTTCAGTGGCATATTGTACAGAAATAAGATTGGGATAGTTTGGTTTTAAAATAAAAATTTGTGATACTGTATATAACATTTCGAAAACTCACATCTGCAAAATAAAGCTGTAAGGTTAAAGGAGTCAATATATGTACGCAACTGTGTGACAAGTTTCGATTCTTTAAAAGAGTCAAACAAATTCATATATAAATCAAAAGAAATCATGTTTAACAGAAAATTTATCTTCAAGGATGGTCATTTAACAAACCAGCACCCCTTGAAGAAACTAGAAAATCTAGTATTTCATCAGCATCTAAATTTGGATCACAAATGTTAGCAAAGGTGGGTTAAGTTGCAATTTGAAAAATATTAATCTTATGATAAGCCAATAACTAGTACATGATTAAGTGTGTCTTCACCAAACAAAATATTTGATCTACTCTGATTTTGAAGTTTTGAGACAAATAATTAAGGTAACAACGTTCTTTAGCTTGTGAACATTGTTATTTACTGTAGCAATGTTCACAAGCTAAACTATCACAGGATGTCAAACATCAATAAGGTATTAATGAAAAATTTATTAAATAGATTAGAATTTAAGTAATCTAAGTAATGTCTCTATTTAAGAAGATTATGTTACCAATTTGATTCAAGCGCAGAACTACTTTTTTTGGGGGGGGGTAATGTTTTAAAGTAGCAAATGCCAGTTGTCTGTTTCTTAGAGCTAATAACATAACTGATGTTTTCTTGCCAACCAGCAGAAGCAATTGAAACTGTTTTGGTATCAAAACTTGCTACTAGGCTTACATTAGTAGTAGGTGTTACATTTATCAGTCACATAAAAAAAGACCTTCTTTCCGAGCAAGTGCCTGCCTACATATGATTGGATGTCATGAGAACTTTATATATTGAATTTAAAAAAAACCACTCTTGAGCTACTTTTGTAATGAATCAAGTTGAAGAAATAAGAGCTTCAACAAACAAGAATGGAATCATGTTCCAGGACATTTTAATCCTGCTGACCATCTTTCAAGAAAATACTCTCCTGATCAACTGATCAATCAGCAGTGATGGAAGGGTTTAAATTAGTTGTTAAAACACACACAAGAAGGAAAAAAAAATTAAATTGGTGAACGCATGAAATAAATCCTTGTTATGATATCATTAATTCAGAGAAGAAAGTATTATGACAAGTACTCAGACATATCTAGAACATGAAAAGAACTACATTCGACTTTTTTATATCAAAGTTTTAAGAGTTACAGCTTGGATATATAGCAGGTTGTGTCCCAAAAGTCATAAAATATATTTTTAAAAAAATGTAAACAAGATCTGCAAAGAGGCTTAATATTTATCAAAGTTCTGTCCATGAGCATCTGTAAATTTTTCCACTAACTCTCCAATGTCTGGTATGTACCCTTGAAGGCCTCGATCAGAATCTATTGTTATCACAGCTACATAAATAGCCTTAATGCTGTCAAAATGGTATCTTCCGAGTGCTTTTTTGATCTTGGAGAACAAAAAGAAGTCAGTCAGAGCAAAGCTGGGACTATAGGGTGACCGACCATCACACCTTGAGTTATTTATGCCCAGAATTATCAAGGCAATTCCAAAGTGGGAATAATAAAATGTAAAATAGGAAATCGTGATTTATGAAATAACGACGCATTTACCGTATTTGATGGTATATAAGATGCCCTTTTTTTCCTAAATTTGGTCTCAAAAAAGTTACCTAAGTCTTATACGTGAAGGACACAGGTTAATTTTCGATACTGAATGCTATTTTTAGCTCGGATAAAGGTCTAGATAAGCATAACTTTTTCTACATCTGCCATAATTATTTTGCGCATGCGTGAAGTATCTGTCGCTAAAAAGCGCCAAAGCTCGAAGCTGATGTTGAAGTTCGAACAAGTTCGACTGTCACATTATGTCTATGGAGCCTTTCCTTCTTTACATAGACTTTCTTTGACTCAGCCGACACACGTGTCAGTATCGGTGCTTAAAACTATTTGTTTTTAAAAAAAACCCTGGAAAATATGAGTACAGGAAACAAGAGATTAGGCTATATAATTCAGTATAAACTAGGAGTGTTAAACTATGCCAAAGTATATGGAAATAGAGCAGCAGCAAGGCATTTCAGTCCACCACCTACCAAAAAAATGATACGTACTTGGGGCAACTGCAGGAAGATCAACTGAAGGCTGCTAAAAAACAAAAACATAACCTTCGATGCCCAGCTCCATCTTAGCCTGAACTTAAAAATGCCGTAAAAATGAGGGTGATAGATAAGAGGAAATCTGGGATAAGTGTTTCAACTCAAATGATAATCAATGAGGCCAAAAGATTTGCAGAAAAAGATGAGAATCAGAACTTTTCAGGGTCTGAGGGCTGGTGCTACAGGTTCATGAAAAGGCAAGGCTTATCAATGCGCACAAAAACAACTATTGCACAGAAAATGCCAGCAGATTATGAAGAAAAAATACTAGCATTTCATTACAAAACGTGAAAACTAAAAGAAACCACATTTTAAGTTATTGTGGTACTGCGCTATCGCGCAGATTATTCAAACTTTTTTCCTTGTGTGTGGTCTTCTAAATAAGGGTGTGTCTTATATGCTGTCAAATACGGTATTATCTAAAGGCTATCAAAATTTACAAAAAAAACTTTATATTTTTACTTTATTAAACACTATAATGTAATTTACTTTATTACATTTATGATCTAAAGTGTATCAAAATTTACAAAAAACTTAATATTTATATTTTTACTTTATTAAACATTTCTTTCAAGTTGTTCAAGTTGCTTTATTTTTTACGCTAATACTTTCTCTTTAATTCTATAAACAGACATTTCTTTCATTGTATTTCATTCTATAAACAGACATTTCTTTCAAAAACATTTCTTTATCAGTTACAAAGTTCCACTGTTGAAGTCCTGTAATTGTTGAGTCTATAATTCAACTTGTCAATCAAAATTTTATCTTCTCTCTGTCAATCTGTCCGTAGTGGTATTTTCTGTATCTAGATTCATACTACAGATTTTGTCATCCAGTAATTGATTGATAATTGAGGAGCATTATCATCACAGTGAAAAACTTCTTTTATATTCTCTTCATTTAATACCCCTTCTCCACATTTATTTACAAAACCCGCTAATTGGAAAATTTCACCTTTGGTTTGCAATATCCGAAAATCTTCAGATTCGCGATTATCATCATAAAATTTATCTAGCGTTCACTATACATATTTGGCTATGTATTATGAGATCGGCGACTAAAGACAAGTTGCTCTGCTAAATTTTATCGTGCACTGAGACAATTAAGCCTGAATTGTATTAGTTTAATTATTTATTATACTTACACCTATTTCCTGCACATGCTTAACGCTGAGTCCTGAATAAATAAATTCCTCCATATACTTATTGTGGCTTATTGTGGGCCGGCACCTGATGCAGTCTCTGTGGCTCCTAAATTCTGCTACCAAGCCCTCCCTGTGTCTTCCCTAAATTCTGACGCCTGATGCGGCTATATGAACTCTGGCGCTGGTTCTTACGCCAGAGTAAATAACAAATACGTGAATAGAAAATCAGTTGCATGAATAACGTGAATAACAAATCGTTATTCTTAATTCAAATAGCACTAAATGTAATCTTTTGGCCTATGAGTATCATTAACAAAATCTACTTTTAGCATATGAAAAGAAATTTTTGTTAAAATTTTCCCATCAACATTTCTTAGTGCATTTAACTTAAATTTGTAATCATCACCAAGCGTAATGTCAACATAAAAGGTTACCGTGCTTTTTCTCAATTATTAATATAACAAAAATTGTTTAAGTATCACTTCAAGAGTCATTACTCAAGTTGTCATGTGTTGATAAACATGTGGTGATGAAAGCAAAATATAATAAATAATGATTCGCCAAGTTGGCATCAGCGGTATAAAATTTTAGTAGGTATAAAATCAACGATGTAACTGTAGAGTGTTTCGGTTTGAGATATATGACTGGCAGCTATGGAGGCAAATTACTGATCATAAAAATTTATGCTAAAATGATTGTTTCTTCAATGATGAGGTATTTTATTTAGTTACGAAGTTAAATTAAGAACTGGGACTCTCCACATGTTTTATTAAGTGTTTGTGGGGGGAAGGGGGACAATGAATAATTAATTCTCAGTTTTATTAATAATATTTTTTTTAATCAACGGGAAAATCATTATGCTGATCAAATGATGGTGCATATTTGGTTATCGGCCCCTAACTGATCCCCTGATTATCACTTAAAATTTCATCAATCCTTAGGGAACCCCTGAAATAGATAGACCCATCATATACATTCTTTCTTCATTATTTACCAAATTACATTTTATTTTTATTTCTACTATACACCGGTTTTTTCTACTGTATGCTCTCTGAAGTTAAATTTTTATCAAGTTCAATGTGTCTTGGATGGATGTAATGCAAGTTTTTACACAAAACAGTACTTACAGATACATTAAGCATTATAATGAGCCTATCTTATCTTCCAATAATTTATATATTAAGCATAAAAAGAATGAAATCAAATACTGAGTTCAATGCACAGTAATTATGTCTTCCTTTTAAATGTCCCAAGCTTATAAATAATTTTTTTTTTTTTTTTTTTTTTTTTTTTTGTTATCCAATCACCATTCAGTCCCACTTATGTTCAATAAGAATATTATTATATTAGACTCAATAAAACACTCTTAAATTCATAAAATATATTACCTTATCCTGGCATATTCGCAACTGACTGACTAAAATGGAACATCTGTCAGGATCAGCTCTCCCATCAAAGCTATCCAGTTCTGTTGCAACCATTGTAAGTTCCTCATCAGCCCAGTAAAACAAAGCTAACTTGGAACTATCTTCTTTCTAAGAAAATAAATATCAAGGAATTTTAAGATACCAAACATCTTTCATAAACATTCTTCCTTGCAAACTCAGTATGACAAATTCAAACATTATATTTTCATTACTCAAAAATCACAAAAGTTAACTAATTTCCAATACAGTGCCAATGATCAAACAGCTGATTAAAAGAAAGTTGAATAATAAAAATTTGCATTTCATTACTCTGTTTAATAACTAGTTAAAAAAAAAAGAGAGAGAGAAGAAGAAGGGAGTGAGCTGCAGAATTTCTACATAAAAAATAGTAGATAGTGATTTATTTTATTACAGTGTTTTGCTATTTTGAAATTCATCATCAATCACCATTCAGTGGCTTACTACTTGATGAAAATGCTCTTTAAGCAGCCAGAGGTGAAAATCTATATTACATTACAGTAGTGAAATTCCATAACTCCATTAAAAGACTTTACAATAGTAAAAGAATTAGCGTTATTGAAACCTTAGCCACAGCTAAAGCAACAGCTACTAGGACTGAAAGAAAATTTTCAAAATTTGGTCTGGTGCACAACATGCTGACTTTCTAAAACTTCTGAACTTTTATTCAAATTACTATATAGAAATGCCTCCCATGACTGGAAATAAACCAGTGAAAATGGCTAAAACTTTCAAATGAATTATTTTCACCTTCACACAGTTTACTTTTTAGTCATTTTCACTGTAATCAAGAAATCAAAAGATCTATTTCATGTGTCAAAAGGTGACCAAGTGTTTACTTAGTCATTTTTACTGCAATTTTGAAAAATTTTAAGAAATGAATGAAAATTTTTAAAGTAAATATATTTTTTAAAGAATTTTTGATAAGCTATCAGATGCAAAACAACATACCACAGTTCCGCAAACATTCTCAGCATGCACCACGTGAATGTTCAAAAACAACTCTTGGATTTGCATATTTTTCTTTGCATACTAATTCTTGTCAATTGAGAGCTTCATTAATAAATAAATACTGATCATGGGAAAAACAGATTGAAAGATGTGAAATAAAAAAGTGTAGTGAAAATCAAATATAAACTGAGTCCAGCAAGCGAATAATTTTAAGAAATATTTTAGAGTGATATAAAATTTGCATTTATAATTCAATTTTGAAAAATGCTTGTTTTAAGTGAAGAATGGTCCGAGTTTTTGAATGTTCCTAGTAATAATAAAAAAGATTTTACTCAAACGCAATCATTAAATATCTGCCTTTTAAACCAAAAATATTTAATCACTTATGCCATAAGGAATTTTATTTATATATTATAAGATATTTTCTCTCTTCTTCCCATGTGTTTTAGTGGTACTCCTTACCTCTGCTTTAGTGATTTTAGCCACGTACTGGAAAGTATATCCGGAGGTTTTGAATTCGATTCCTGGCTAAGGCACAACTGATTGTCTCACCTTCCAGAAAAATTATAAATGAGTCTACACTAGTACCTGAACTAAAACGTGGTGGATGCTAACTTGCACCAATAAGATTTAGCATTCTTTCCCAATCACCTTTTAAGAGAAGGGGGAAGAGAATGTGAGCTATTTTCTCCCTCTTTTTCCCATGTCTTCATGTTATACATGAGAAGCATGTCCAGCAAGCATGGGAAAGTACAGAGTTCTCGAGTCCTAGCAACAGCACTGTTCAAATTTCCTGGCTCAAGAAACCTTCTTGACATTTTTGAAATAAATCTAATGACTCAACACAAGTGGCGCCTGAACGAATATATGGTGAACAGTAATTTGTCACAACCTCAGTTTCAATGACTGTGTCTTCTCCTCCTCAGTCACTTTTAAGTGGGAAAGAACAAAGTATTTTTCCCTTCTTACCATGCACTTTCATGGTGTGATAGGAAAGCACATCTGGCTAGCATCAAAAAGTCTGGAGTTTGAATCCTGGCAAAAGCAGAGGTGATTGTACCATCTCTGCTCCAAAAAATTCTAAATGACTACACCATTAGTATAATATGAAGATGGTACAGTAATTAATACAAATTTAAGCTAAAAATTTTATGAAAAAAACTGACTTGAAAAGCAAATTTTCAATAAAAAAATTGATTTAAATAAAAAAAAATCTAATTTAGGTAGGGGAAAAAAACCTAACCCCCCCCAGAATTCTTTTGTACATCCTGGTTTCCAAGAAAGTAGGCTGGTCCATATTACATTTCCCACATTTAATTATTAAACAACAAGAAGCTTTTATGCCCTGAAAACTAAAACAGCACATCTAAAATAATGCATAAAAGAAATTAAACAAATAAAAAAAATCTGAAATGTTTTAGATTTTAAATTACGTCCAAAGGGGCTTTTTTTTAATGTTTTGTGTGTTACCTTTATTTATTAAATATCATGTTCTACGCACTCAAACTATAAAATTCAGTTCAACAGCAATATTTCAAATTAATTTTAAAATGAAATCATTTAGTTTTTTTAATCAAAAATTCGTTGAAGTGTTATAAAATCTGAAATCGATAATAAAACAAATTTCAAATTAGGGCTTCCACAGCTCATATTCTATGGAAGATCACATAATTCAAATTTTGATGGCTCTAGGTACCTTTGTTTTATCACAATGTGGGAAACATACATATATTTAATTTCTTTAAATATAAGACAGGGCGAAAATATATTGTGGCAACGATTAAAAAACTGATAGAGACTTTTAAAGTTTTCGATGCAAAATGACAAAATGAAATTAATAGTCCTTCAGGGGAAACTGCCCCTTTGGACTAAAAAAGAAATAGTTTTTCGCAGACGATTCAGCACTGCTTGCCTATTGTGCATGCGCTAATTAATTAATTCAGTTCTCTATTCGCGATACGGCAAAAATGCATAAAAATTCAAAATATTTTCATTAAAAACTGAAAGATATAGAAAACATTAAACACCAATTACAGTTAAAACATTTTTAAAAAAGCAATTTTTATAATTAAAATTACAGTTTCTACAGAAAAACAAGCTAATAACTTAAATGATAGTTCCAGAATGAATTAAGGATAATTTAATTCGCAATAATAAAAGAAGACATTATTTTGTTGTTACAAAGTATAAGTTTCTCTAGCTTGGCAACCAATCCACTATTCTGCTAAGTTTCAAACGTAAACAAATATGGCTGCCATGTTAAACAAAAATTAAGCTTAGCCGCACTTAAAAAATTTTTAAATTGTAGATAATTCCACAATTATTGCATGCAGGTTAAGTAAAGGCATAAAAACGTTAACCGGAAGATAAGAACAACATAATTAAATCAGATTTAATGCAAAAAATGCACAATTCACAAACACATAAGAATAAAGAAACTGAGCTCACTCAGCCGAGTAACAGAGTGGATATATATTTATATATATATCTAATATATTACTAAATAAATGCATACATATATATATTTATTTATTTATTTAGTAAATAAATTATATATATACTATATATAATTTATTTACTAAAATATTGATTATATTATCTCAATCAATATTTCTTTAGTAAATAAATTATTATTATCTTACTTTGCAGCTATTGCGCAAGTATTAGAATAACTTGTTTTCGAACTAAGTGAATTTAAGATCATACAACATTATTTATATATATACTTTTAGTGCGGCCGATTGGCAACCAAAATGGAAGGTGCACATCTACATGTTATAGCAGTCCTACGAAATTTCAACGTTCTTGAGGCTACTCGTTTTTGAGTTACGCGATATGCATACGTACATTCGTATGTACAGACGTCATGAAAAAAAAAAAACTCTTCAGAATTCATTTTAAATCAGTTTTATAATGTTTTGGCGAAAAAAAAAAAAAAAAAAAGAGTCCTTTATTGTGTCCTTACGTAGGGATGTCACGCAAAAACATCGTTAAATGGCATTCGATAGCGGTCAAAATGGATATTTTCGTTGAAATATGATATACGAAATTTTTCGTGATTACAATACTTCCTTTTTACTTTACAAGGAAGTAAAAATTAAGCATTTTCTCATTTAACAGATAACAATCCATTCCAAGATTTGCAAGTTTTAGAACTATTTCCCAGGAAAGATAAAGAATTGCAACAAGGTTAGCAATAGCTATGAACTGGCAGTGTGCCAGGCAGGCGGGCAATAAATGTTTTGGTAGCCTAACAAAGTAATAATATAAACGATCGATCATCAAATAACACGCAAAAAATAATTGCAGACATTTCAAATGCCAAACATTCCACCTTCCGATGCAGATAAGGTAAGCCGATAACGTCGTAAAAGTATTATTAACAATAATTTGGCTGAAGTTCTGTTGCGTGTAGCTGAACGATCCGGTTGAATGGAATTTTCATTCTTTGCCTCATATAGGGGTCAGTTTTCCTTACAAAATCTTTGATGAAAACATACTTTACTTTAGACAGACAGCCTAAGGCAATGACCTCACACTCTAATTGCATGAGGGCCAAAATTACAATTTGAAAACTGCTGACGGGCAAGAATTTATAAAAGCAGATAAATAAAAAATAAACGTAACAAAATTTAAATATTTTAAATAAATTTTAAATTTCGCTTGCTAAATATTTATCAAAACACATATAAATAAAAATAATAATGTAGCACAGGAATTAAATTCAAATTAATATTTATTTTCGACCTAAAGTTTGCTATCTGTAAGACATTTTTGTTGGTTACACTGGGTAATTCAAATATATTGACAGCTAAATACTAAACTTCTAGACAGACATACCTTTTATATAATTCTAACATTAAACTAATAAACAAATTAAGAAAATTTTTAAGCTTTCAGAGAAAATTTATCAAGTGGGACAAAACTTAATAAGTAATAAAAATTTAGTCTCTCTAATTTAATAAATTTTCCGCCGGGGATAAATAAAAATACACATAAAAAATTAGGTAAAGCAACAACATTCTGTTTGATATATATTTTAACAAGACTCTTATCAATATACGCCAAACAGAAGGTTGTTTCTTTGCCTAATTTTATGTTTTATTTTGACGTGTTTATCTTCTTTCTAGAAAAATACGTATGTCTGTGTGTAAATAATTATAAACATCTTTACTTCTTT